AATTCTCTGTTGAGGCAGACGGCAGAAGTAATACAGGCAATCTCCAGATATACTTTATACTTTATTTTAGATATAATAAAGGGAGTCTGAAACCTTTTTGGCCAAAGGTTGATACTTTATAATTTCTAGCTTATTGTGATTAAATAACTAAAACAATATCTGGCCCAGAGAGGAAAGACATTGCTACTTCTGGAAGAATATGTCAATGAACAAACCTCAAATCCAGCGCACCTTCTACTACTGTCCCCTATAAAAACTGCAAAAAGAGCTCCAATCATTTTCCTTCTTGTACAGACAATACTAGTAATAGTTGAAAAGGAGTAGTTATAGTATCAGAAGTAGAAATATTTGTAAAGATGTTCAGCATGCTTAGTCAATAGTGAAATGCAAATAAAAACCACATGAGATTGCCAAGATGACTATAGTAATAATAATTTAAAAAGCAGAAAGTAAAATATTGTAAAGAATATGGAAAGATTGGAACATTTGTACATTGCTGTATTGCGAATATTATTTATTGATATTTGTACGTGAATGTTTAGCAGCATTATTCATAATTGGTGAAAAGTGGAAACAACTCCAGTGTCCCTCAACAGGTGAATAGATAAATAAAAGTGGTATGTATGTACAGTGGAATATTATTCAACCATAAAAAGGAATGATGTTCAGATACATACTACAATACTGATGAACCTTGAAAACATTATACTGAGTGAAATAAGCCAGATACAAGGGACAATTACTGTTTGATTCCATGTATATGAAGTATCTAGAATAGGCAAATTCATAGAGATGAAAAGTAGATTAGAGATTGCCAGGGGCTGAGATGAGGAAGAATGGGTTATTGCTTAATGGGCGCAGAATTTCTGATGAGGATTATGAAAAAATTTTGAAATAGTGATGATGGTTATATGGCATTGTGAGTATAATTAATGCCACTTGTCCATTTTAAATTGGTGAAAATGGAAATTTTTGTTATATATATTTTTTACCAAAATATATAAAGGAAGTACAAGTAGTAGTGTAATAATAGCACCTAACATTTAAATTTTACTATTTAACAGGCACTGTCCTGAGGTGTTTATATGTCGTAAACTATCTGTTTCTCACTGTAGACATATTTTATCCACAAATAGTTAATATTAGTAAATGAAAGGCAAGAATATTGTACTGTAATAATTGAGGTCTTAATTATTTTGGCCACCTTCTCTTTTATTGCCATCTGTTCCTGTAAAAGCACTTATAATTAGTTGGACCTCCAATGCCCCATGGATACTGAGGGATAACTATTTTTTTTCTATTAGAACTTTTTATTTAAAATTTGTATATTTTTAAAAGTTTATTTCTACTTATTTATTTATTTCCAAATCATATTTGGTACTTCCTACTTTTAAAAAGTTACGTGTGTTTTGGGAAAAAATTAGTTGTTATGGTATTTGTTGAAGAAAATTTGTTTTATAAAATAGTTCTACAAGTCAAATATAAGAAAATGTATTTATGTTTCATGTATTGTCTATTAGACATTAATGTCCATGAGAGCAGCATCCCTGGAAACTAGTACACTGTCAGGTGTTGGTACACACCAAGCAAATATTTCTTGTATGATGGTTGGGAAAAAATGCATTAACATATTTATAAATTTACATAGAGAGATGGACAAGTTGGTAGGGAAATGATATATAATAATTTACAAATTAGTATATGAGGGTAAACTTTCCTTTAAGACAATTTAATTTAAAAATAAGATTAAAATATATAGTTGAATTTCTACCATGAAGATTTATGATTTAATTTATAATTTAAACAATTTTAAGAAAGAAAAGACCAATAGAAAATCAACATTTATAGGATATTGTTCCAGTGGAACAGTTTCCTTAGTTAGCTGCCGTTATAGTCCATGATTCTGTTCTCTAAGATCATCTCCCTCATCCCTTGTCCTGCTATTGTTTGTAATTTGGTATTTTCTCTCTGGAGTACAGTTTGAAGGTATGCATCAAAATATAAAACATGCTCAATTTTCAACCTGCTCATACTGCTTCTAGGAATTTTTCGTAAGACTGTAATACACAGATTCACAAAGATGCATGCATAAAAATCAAGATTTTTTTTAAATTGAAATATTGCAGACAACATGAATGTGTGTAGATAGCACAATGATAAAATGTAAATTTAATTTAATAAAACAAAAAATAGCATAGTTGTATTTATATAGAAATATGTCAGCACCTTTCTTGAGTGCAAAAGATTACAGAACAGTATTATAAACATATTATTTTAAATGTTTATGTATATCTATGTATTTAAATACACAGAGAGCTCTCCAGAAGGTTGTTTGTCTAAGTGCTATCAGTGATTTTCTTTGGGTAATGGAACCCTGGATGATTTTCACTTCTTTACATTTTTCACGATGAATGTATGTGATTCTTACAAAAACAGTATATTTTATTGAACTTTATACGGTTCTTCTTTTTTTTGTTTTTTGCGGTACGCGGGCCTCTCACTGTTGTGGCCTCTCCCGTTGCGGAGCGCAGGCTCAGCGGCCATGGCTCACGGGCCTAGCCACTCGGCGGCATGTGGGATCCTCCCGGACCAGAGCACGAACCCGTGTCCCCTGCATCGACAGGCGGACTCTCAACCACTGCGCCACCAGGGAAGCCCCTATATCGTTCTCAATTAGCCACTTGTGGATCATTCACTTTACAAATTAACTGTTTAAGACATAAACTTTTGCCACACCATTCAGCATCTTTCTGAGTCATCTTTCCTAATATCAACTGATATTTATTCAAAAAATTATCTTATTTTAATATTCTGAAAAGAACAAAATCAAAAGCATAGATTATTCAAATTCTTTTAAAGCCAAATGGAAGTGAGGTCTTACCAGACATACTACTTATATTATGTAGCTTTAGTAACTAGGTAATAGTGGCACTGCTTTTATCTATTAAGTGATTACTACTGCTGAACATGAGTGTGCAGATATAATTATTGCTGAAGCTCTTCATTTGAGAGCTGGTAAATTACTTAGCCTCTCTGGGTCTCAGATCACTCATCTGAAAATGAGGAAGAATGTCATCTGATTTAGCAATCTGTTGTGTTTAATATGGTACAACCACATGTACAGCACTTGTAACAGTGTCTGAAACTTTAAAGTGGTCAAAAAAGTTAGCTATTTTTAGCTATCTATCTGTCTAAAGTAAAGTCAGTCACTTGTATTTTCTCAAGTAGATCTATGCTTTTACTTAGGGTATATTTTATGTAGGATGCTTCTTTCAAATGATAATGTGAGGTTTATTTTGGCTCAAACAAGCTCAAAAATAGTCTTCTATTATAGTATACTGTCAGAATTAAGAAATGAAGCTCAGGAATGAATTTTTATTGCATTGTCATTGTCATTGCATTGTCATTTTTAGCTAATGTTATCCTCTTAGACTAGTTCTTGTTGGACCCCTGGAAAAGCATGGCCTACTTATAGTTAATTACTTATTGATTAGTCTGACTTATTAATATAACAATTCATTTTAAGGAGAAATCATTTTCAGAATTATTGATGACTCTGAGAACTTTATTTTGCAGTTTAATTCCAATAATTTTTACTTGTTCTGTTTTTGTTATGTTTACTCCCATCGCAAAGCCTAAATTGAATATTTTCAGTCTCATATGAGAATTGTATTATATTTATCATTTTGAAGTCTAATTATTTGCCTGGTAAAACACATTTTATCATGTGTGTTTTATAAATAGGATTAGGTATTGTTTCTGACTATGAAATTCTGTGCGCATCTAGACTTTCAAAGAATAGAACATTAAAGTCTCAGTTATTATTACATATCGTATGCTAAGCCTACTGATTTATTAGTCAAATGCTTTTCACAAATTCATATGGTACCAATAATTTCCCATCACCATGTCATGATTTATATCACAGTTTGGATTTGTTTTTAAAGAAAAACCACATTTTTGTAATTTTTCTTGTTTTCTTGAAACATAAAGATAAAAACATTAAAATTAAAAACAGGAATAATAGACTATCTTAACTTTCTATTTGGTCACTTACTCTCAATGTAGACTGCCTGCCTAAAAAATGTTTTAAATCAGAACAACTTTGAATGACATAGATCTGTTTTAAAATATTGGGTGTCAGAGTTGGTTTATATTTAAAGGAGGCTTCTATGTAAATGGCATTCTAAATCTGAGAAAATATCTTACTTGCCTTTAGTAACTGAATGAGAAATCTATGTGAATATGGATATGGAGGAATATGTATGTATATGTATATATGTTTTGTTTTCCCTAAGGGCACTGTTCAGAACAAGTATCTGGCTTATCTGTGTTGAAGATACTGAGGCTACAAATGTTGAACTTTCTTAAGAAAACTTCGTTCAAACTCCGATTGTCTAGTCCATGATAATTAGCTGATGGCTCTGTGTGCTTTTTCATTAGTACATTGGAATAAAAATAAATACATGAACTTTATATTCTTTAACATTAGCTATCACATAATATTCCTTTGACTGTTTTCATAGATTTATTTTTTTGAATCTATGGTAAAATCTTGAGATGAGAACAGTCATCTTTCAATTTCTGTAACTGCTTTACTAGAAACACAAATAATCTGTTAAGATAATTATTCATCAGGCAAACATCAGTTATAATCTGATTGCTCTCTTACTGCAAGCTAATAATAATTTTAACGAGTAAATTTTCCAAATTTAATTTTAGGAAAGGACATTTTATCATTTTCTGATTCACTTCATATTTGGAATGTTTTTAAATTAGATCTCATGTTATGTACTTTATTGAGTTTGGGGGCAAAAAAAGTATATCTTGACTGATGGAAGAAAGGTGAATTCAGGTTTTTTGGCTCCTAAGCCTTCATTTTAGCAAACTTTCTTCTTTCCTCTAGTAACTACTTCAGATGAATTCTACCAGCTGTTCTCTGTGTTGATAGATTATCAGTCTCAGAGCCATAATCATAATGCAGTTATCTTTCCTTGTAGCATCAGAGGCTCCTTGAAATGCTTGCCACAGAGAAGGAACTGTTAAAAGAAAAAATAAAGGAAGCTTTGACTCAGCAATCTCAAGAACAGAAGGTAATACTTTAAGTTTGCTTGGACTGTGGAAAGAATGTTCTGTTACCTCAAATAATACTTTAATGTCTAGCTGTCTTATCATTTACAGGAAATATTGGGAAAATGTTTGGAGGAAGAAAGGCAAAGAAATAAAGAAGCATTAGTATCTGCTGCAAAGGTATTTCTCTCTGAAAAGTTTATTCTGTAGCTTAATTTCAATTATAGTTCTACTTTTGTTATGTTTACCCCCACCTCAAAGCCTAAAATGGATGTTGTTGGTCTCATATAAGAATTGTTTTTGTCATCTTTATGTCTAATTATTTGCCTGGTAGAGACCCATCAGTAACAGTCAGTTTCTTTGTAAATAAGTGGAATTAACAAACTGAGTTTATTAATGGTTAGTCAATCTACTTTTTTTTTTTTTTTTTTTTTGCGGTATGCAGGCCTCTCACTGTTGTGGCCTCTCCCGTTGCGGAGCACAGGCTCCGGACGCACAGGCTCAGCGGCCATGGCTCACGGGCCTAGCCGCTCCACGGCATGTGGGGTCTTCCCAGACCGGAGCATGAACCCGTGTCCCCTGCATCAGCAGGCAGACTCTCAACCACTGCGCCACCTAGTCAATCTTTTAAAAATATTTCATTCCAGAAAAATCAAAAATTTTTTTCTTCTTCTACTGTTCATATTCTTGTTAAATTTACATTACACAAGATAATGATGATATTGAAATGCTTTACATTTAGATTATTAATCACTTGTTTAAAATAATATATCTACATAGGAACACTAATATCCACTTGGTATTTGATAGATATCATACAAGTAATGAGTGTGTGTGTGTGTGTGTGTGTGTGTGTATGTATATATGTATGTATGTATCAAGGTATGTGGTTTTTAAAGTCAACTTTGAAATAGATCATCTGGGTAGTATATTCATAGATGTTAAATATATGTATACTAATATATACATATGTTGACCTGAAATATACTGTCAGATATTTGTCCAGCAAAAATGGGTTTATTCAGGATTAGGAGAGAATTGCAATTTGGGGTCTGCAACCATGGCGAGCCATGTACAAGTTCCCACATGACAAGGAGAACACTTTTTTTTTTTTTTTTTTTTTTTTGCGGTACGTGGGCCTCTCACTGTTGTGGTCTCTCCCGTTGCGGAGCACAGGCTCCAGACACGCAGGCTCAGCGGCCATGGCTCACGGGCCTAGCCGCTCCACGGCATGTGGGATCTTCCCGGACCAGGGCACGAACCCATGTCCCCTGCATCGGCAGGCGGACTCTCAACCACTGCGCCACCAGGGAAGCCCCAAGGAGAACACTTTTATAGAGAGGAAAGTAAGTTGTGAGGGCTACAGGAAATACAGAGTCCATGGCTTTTCATTGGCTGAGTCGCTGCCAGGAAAGAAGAGGAGTCTTTCTTCTTCCTGTTGGTCTCTACTATAGTTGCAGGGCATAAGAGTTCCCCCTTAAATAGATCTCCTGACACTATTTAATTGAGATTTCTGTTTATGAATTTTTTACATTTTCCCCTTTGATCAAGACCTTTTTCTGAAAGCACCACTGATCAAGAATCAAGGTTTCTAGTTTTAGCTCTTTTTGTCCCTCAATTTCTGGGTGTGGTGTCTCATGTCAGAGCGAAAGTGCAGATTGGAAAACTATTGCAGTCACATTCAAGTAACGAGGAGGGGTAGGAGGGAGACCTCTTAGGCAGTTTTCTGAAGTCCATATCTTATCAAGATTATAGACATTGGAGATCATCTGAAGTGTTATGTCATCATCAAAGGTTTGGTGACAAACTTCTAAGAGGCCTGGCCTGGGTATCTTGGGAAAGCTGTCTCATCAGATGTCATCTGCTTCATTTCTGGGAAATCTTTACTTTCAGGTCACCAGATGATGTACAGGTCCCGTCAGGGTTAGGTACTTTCTTTAGGTGTGTCATGTGAATCCAAGAGTCTATTCCTTGTTGTTTGGTGGCACAAGGGTTGGTTATGAGTGCCTGATAGGGGCCTCTCCAGTGAGGTTGAAGAGAATTCTTTTGGAAGTGTCTTTTCCAGTAGACAAAATCTCTAGGTTGCAAGATGTGATGCTTAAGGTCATCATCTCCCAAGGGCGCACTGTGAAAAGATTGCTCTACCAGGGCATGGTTATTTTTAATGGAAACAACTAGGTCTTTGCAATATTGGAGTATCTCTCCTTTTATCAGTTGTGGGTCAAAAGAGGCAGGAGCCAAGTGCATTGGGTGTCCTGTGACTATCTCAAAGGGTGAGAGTTTACGAGTTCCAAAAGGAGTGGATCTGGGATTTACAGGGCCAACAGCAATGCTTTGGGCCAAGGTATTTGGAGGGCCTCTACAAATTTTTCTAACTGAATCTTAATAATGCTGTTAGTGCATTTAACTAAACCAGAGGATTGAAGGTGGTAAGCATAGTGAAAACGTTGTAAAACTGGCCAAACAGTGCAAACTTGTTGAAGCACCTAGCCAGTAAAATGGATTTCTAAATCACTATGATGTTTGAGAGGAGCTCCTCAGGTAGGGACAATCTTTTCCAAAAGTACTTTAGCCCCAGAAGAGGGAGTAACCGGTCTGCAAGGGAAGGCTTCTTTCAGTCCACTATAAAGTCTACAGACCATGACTAAAACATGAAGTTCATTAGCGATCTCCACTGTTTGAACCACAGCACGGGCTGCTTTATAGTAGTGGGGTTGAACACCGAGATTGTGCCTTTGGTGTCAGAACAGGAAGAGCTTCATCCTCAATCAGGAGAAATATTTCTCCACCCCGATTAAGAGGGAGAACTGGGAAGAGCCCCTATAATTCCTCAAAGCCCCGTTATTGAGAATTGAAAGGACATTGGAAAGGCTGGTTAGAGGACTGAAGGCACTCAAACACTTAAATTTGTAACAATCTTTCCCAGTGTCCTGGCTTTTTGCAATAATAGCAGAAACTGGGAAAGTTTTGATTTCATTCAGGAATCTTCATTTGCTGGATTTGAAGATTAAGAAATATGGTGTTCTTCCTTTTAGGTGACTCATGTGGAGTGTGAGAGAGCTGGTTTGCTAGATTAATTAAGTCTGAACTAGAGATAGTTTTCCATTTCATCCTAGTCCTTTTTACTAGAAGGGAAAATGTCCCAGTCCAGCCCATTAATAACAGAGTTAAAAGCTGCCCGGGTGGAATCAACATATGAGGGAAGACCAGAATTTTCTTTAGAAGCAGTCTGAAGTCATGTAGTAGTCATGAACAGGTTCATCCAATGTTTGTGTGCAAGGCTGGATTCTGTTCCAGTCAACCGGCTTTGGTAAAGCCCTAGGAATTGCTCGATGAAGCCACCTAGCGATTGCCTGAACCTGACCATATAAGTTAGACCTTTCAGGATTTTCCCAATTAGCAGTTTTCATCCTATGCTGGGCCTGGCCTTAACCAACAAGTACATGAACCAGCTGATATGAGTCAGAGAAACAAGGTTGATAAGTTTGAATGACTATATTAAATTCCTCAGCAAATCTGTGAGGATCTTTGGTTTATTTTGGGAAAATACTTGACTATGGCTTGCAGTTCAGCTTTAATCCAGAGAATATAGGAAATTAAGAGTTGAACTTCTGGATCCTCAGAAGGCTTAATTTTATAGGGAAAAATTCTGAAAAGTTCAGAGGGAAAGGGGGTGGGAAGAGTTTTAGAGAAAAGGAGAAGTTTGACAGGATAATTAGTATGGGGTATAGAGGAGGCATCAGCGGCATAGAAGGGTGGGAGGAAGATGGCGCCAGAGGCACAGTCTGGCCACGAGGATGCAAGGATGAGAGACGAGATGGTACCAGAGGAAGCCAAGGAAGAAGAACCTGAGGCTTTGGGAGCCATTTCATCTTTCTTTAATTGCTGGTTTGCCTCAGTTAATCTTGAAATCTTATTTTGCAGAGAGAGAGTTTTAAGCTTCTGATAATATTGGGAAGCCTTAAGATACCAATCGAAATAGGCATACCACTCAGTTCTGGAAATTTTTGAGCTATTGTGATCTAATTCAGTTTTAAGGAAATTAAGTTTGGGGATTCCAAAAGTTTCCCATAACGGCCACTGATTTTTTTTTTTGGTACGCGGGCCTCTCACTGCTGTGGCCTCTCCCGTTGCAGAGCGCAGGCTCAGCGGCCATGGCTTACGGGCCCAGCCACTCCGCGGCATGTGGGATCTTCCCGGACCAGGCATGAACCCGCGTCCCCTGCATCGGCAGGCGGACTCTCAACCACTGCGCCACCAGGGAAGCCCGGCCACTGATATTTTAACTTGCCTTTGGTCAGGTCGGTCCTTTTAGTCAGAAGTGAGCATGAAGGGGTAGGAACTATGGTTTTTAAATACCAGTTTGGCTGGAGTCCCTGTAGGGGTAGCACCCTCAAAATAGTTAACTGGGATCCCATTTCTCAGAGGTTTTTCTCTAGAATAAAAGAACAATTTTCAAACAGCTTAAATAACTTACAGCTCAAAAAGCTTGCAAACTAATACCAGCCATTTCTAAGGAGACAGCTTGGTGCTAAAGGAGCCAGGCCAAAGGCTTTTACAGGCAATTTCCAGAGAATAGCCCCTTCCAAAGGAAGAGGCCGAAGGCTGAAAAACCAATACACTTTTCAGTGAAGAAGTCCCTATTCCCAAAGGAATGGGCTGAAGGCATTTCCAGCCAGCTTCGGTTGAAACAGTCTTATCTCAAAATCAGACCAAAGTTCCAAATGCATGCAGAACAAGGCCTTAGCCAGAAAGACGAAACCTTAAAATAGATTCTGAATAAAACCTGGAGAGCTTCAAACACAAAGAGGGCATGAGCTTGGGTCTAGGAGAAAGATGTACCTTCAAACTCCAAGGTCAGCAAGAAAACAGTGAGTAACAGTGGGCTCAGTTGTGGGTACCACATCTGTTCAATAGCCCCAGAGCCTTCGGAGGTCTTCTCTGGTCCCCATGTGGGCCACCAAAGTGTTGATCTAAAATAAATAGACTGCCAGATATTTCTCCAGCAATAATGAGTTTATTCAGGAACAGCAGAGAATTGCAGTTTGGGGTCTGCAACCATGGTGAGCCACGTGCAAGTCCCCATACAACAAGGGAGAATGCTTTATCAAGGGGAAAAGGAAGTTGGGAGGGCTGTGGTAAACAGAGTCCGGGGCATTTCATTGGCTGAGTTCTTGCCAGGGAAGTAGAGGAGTCTGTCTTCTTCCTGTTGGACTCTGCCATTGTCGAAGCACTTATAAGGTGAGAGCTCTGCCTTATGGTCCCCTGACACTATTTAATTGAGCTTTCCGTTTATTAATTTTTTAACGCAAATATGGCACTGAGTGTTGAGTTTGGGATTTAGATTTAAATTTAGTAAACAAACGTTGAAAGTCTCATAGGTACAGATCACTGTGCTGAGGTGGATGTTCAAGAATGACTATGATTTTGTCTTTCTTAAAGAATTTACAATCAGGTAAATAAACATTGTTTATGTACTAATAAGGTAAGAAGGAATGCATTAAATTATTATGAGTATATAGATAGTATTTCCATGGCATTCATAGGAGGGTTTTTTTTTGTTTCATTTTGTTTATTTATTTATTTATTTGGTTGTGCTGGGTCTTAGTTAGTTGCGGCATGTGGGATCTAGTTCCTCTACCAGGAATCAAACCTGGGCCCCCTGCATTGGGAGCACAGAGCCCTAGCCACTGGACCACCAGGGAAGCCCCCCATAGGAGTTTTTGACAATAAATTTCTTTTGAACTGAGACTTGAAGGATGGCTAACATTCTGAATAGTGAGATTGAATTTTATTCCATAGGTAAGTAGAGACACATTGAAATTTCTGAGTATAGGTGGGTCATAATGGTAACTGACATTAATTTTTGGGAAATTGGAGCAAGAAAGGCCAAAGGCAGGGAAAGAATTAACAGAGTGCATCTGAAGTTTGCATAAGACAGAAATAGAATAGTAGTAGTAGCTTGGAAAGGAATGAAATAGGCAAATTCTAGAAGTAGTTAGGAGATAGAATCAACATGTTTGGTGTGGATGAGGTGGCCAGTTTGTGAACTGCCAGAATATTCATTCAGCAGCAACATAGAAAGTAATACTATTGCCTTGATACAGAGTTTGAGCTGCCTGTGATATATCTAGATGATAAAGTCAAGTAGGCAGCTAAATCTACATGACATTTACAGCTCAGTAGATAGGAATCTCCTGAAGATATTAATATGGGTTAGTATAATGGTTTTTTTTGTTTTTTTGTTTTCCAGCAGAGAGATGATAATAGTAGCCATGGAAATTATTGTCATGTATAATTACCTCAAAGGAGTAACAAGTAGAGTAACAAGTGGTCCAAGTTCTTAGCCCTGAAGGAACTCCAAAATTTAAAATCCAGAGAAAGGACGAAGTTACAAAGAATTGAAAAGACTCAGCAAAATGCATAGGAGAAATATAAGCAGCAGGCTCTCATGAAAACCAAGAAAAGAGAGGGCTTCACAAAATCAGAAATAATCAACTATATAGAATGTTGCTTTGAGGTCATGAAAGTAAGGATTAAAACAAAAAATATCGTTTGGTTTAAACAACATGGAAGGCATTGGTGAACATAGTAAGAGAGTAATTTAGGAGGAGAATTGTGCAATAAAATAGGAGTTCAAAAAATGGTGACTGTCAGCTTTAATGACTTTTGTCAAATTTAGTTGTGAACTGGAAGCAAGAAAAAAAGTGGTAAGTCTCTCAGGAGTGGGAGGTCGATGGACTTTACTATGTACGATGGTTTCTTGAGGAAAATTCTTGTGCAGCTGTTTGAGTTGCAACTGAAATAGGCTCTTTTTCCATGGAACGCCATTTTACTGAATTAGTAGGTTATACAGACTTTAGTATTTGGCAGACATTTTGTCCAGAATAAGCAGAGTGAGCCCATCACCTTAAGGAGAAAAACTGACAGTTCTTGTTGCCAATGATAAAATTCGAGCTTTAAAAAAAATTAGAATTTTAGAAAATTTATTTCTACTTTTTAATAAAGACTCTTCTGATGAGATTGATGGTGTTATTAACAAAAATGTGGCTTTTTTGGTTATAATATAGTGAAATGTGTCAACATCTGGAGGAGATGCATAAGTCATTGAATCAATGTTTGCCAAATAAAAAATGTTTAAAAAATATGTAAAGGATTCATTCAAAATGCAAGAAAAGATTGTAATGTAACAGAGTACAAAAAGTTCATTGACATGATTTTATTTTTCTTATTGCAACTTGCCTTTAAGAACTACCCCTTGTTAAGTTTTGGTGTGGAATCAGAAAGAATATCTGCAGTAATCTCAACTGGCTACTAAATAATTCTCGCTTTTCTTCTACATATATTTGTGAGGCTGGGTTTTTCTTATATACTTCAACTAAAAATATCATTACAGATTTAAAACAGAAGGCAGGTATAAGAATCTAGGCTCTGTTCTATTAAGTCAGATAGTAAAGAGGTTTATAAACATTCTTCTCACTTTTTAATTTTGGAAAAATGTAGTTATTTTTCATAAAATACAGTATAAATGTATAATGCACTTACTGTTATTAATTATAAATGAATTAATAAATAAGTATTTTCTCTTGGTTTGCATATCTAATACGGTAAATCTTAATATGTATAACCCATGTAAACAAAAGCTCTTAGAAGTCCTCTATAATTTTTAAGAGTATAAAGAGATCTAAGACAAAATAGTTTGAACACTGCTACTTTAGGCCAAGACTTGGTTTCTTTGAAGTTTAGAAATGCCATGGAAATAAGTTGGTTATTTGTGTAAAAACAAATAATTAATTTTATTTTACAGCAGTTATTACATATGAGTAAAAAAAAAAACAATGTCAGAAATAAACCCTATAGGATCAAAATTTTGAGTTTTTTAGGTTAACTCAAGTCTGTCTTATTCAAGGAACTATTGTGGTCACTCATTCAAATATTTTTGTTTTCGTCATTATTTGTTTTGAAGCTTGAGAAAGAAGTGATGAAGGATGCAGTTTTAAAAGCTGTAGAAGAAGAAAGAAAAAATTTGGAAAAAGCCCATGCAGAAGAAAGGGAGTTATGGAAGACTGAGCATGCAAAAGATCAAGAGAAAGTATCTCAAGCAATTCAAACAGCTATACAAAAGCAAAGAAAAATTAGTGAGGTTAGTAAAACTAGTTCTTTATAAATATTTTCATTTTTCTTATTTTTTGCAAAATAAAGTAGCTTTACTATTATTTTATCATACTTAATCTTACTGGGCATAATTATTTTACTTTTGAGTATAATACTTTAACTGAATAATTTTTAATATATCTCTACTTTTCACATTTTTTTTTTTAGTTTCTCTTTTTTTAACATCTTTATTGGAGTATAATTGCTTTACAATGCTGTGTTAGTTTCCGCTTTATAACAAAGTGAATCAGCTATACATATACATATGCCCCCATATGTCTTCCCTCTTGCGTCTCCCTCCTTCCCACCCTCCCTATCCCACCCCTCTAGGTGGTCACAAAGCACTGAGCTGATCTCCCTGTGCTATGCGGCTGCTTCCCACTAGCTATGTATTTCACATTTGGTAGTGTATATATGTCCATGCCACTCTCTCACTTTGTCCCAGCTTACCCTTACCCCTACCCATGTCCTCAACTCCATTCTCTAGTAGGTCTGCGTCTTTATTGCTGTCTGGCCCCATTTTTTTTGATTCCATATATATGTATTAGCATACAGTATTTGTTTTTCTCTTCCTGACTTACTTCATTCTGTATGACAGACTCTAGGTCCATCCACCTCACTACAAATAATTCAATTTCGTTTCTTTATATGGCTGACCATGTCCTGGCGATTGTAAATAGAGCTGCAATTAACACTTTGGTACATGACTCTTTTTGAATTATGGTTTTCTCAGGGTATATGCCCAGTAGTGGGATTGCTGGGTCATATGGTAGTTCTATTTTTAGTTTTTTAAGAAGCCTCCATATCGTTCTCCATAGTGGCTATATCAATTTACATTCCCACCAACAGTGCAAGAGGGTTCCCTTTTTTACACATCCTCTCCAGCATTTGTTGTTTGTAGATTTTTTGATGATGGCCATTCTGACCGGTGTGAGATGATATCTCATTGTAGTTTTGATTTCCATTTCTCTAATGATTAGTGATGCTGAGCATTCTTCCATGTGTTTGTTGTCAATCTGTATATCTTCTTTGGAGAAATGTCTATTTAGGTCTTCTGGCCATTTTTGGATTGGGTTGTTTGTTTTTTTGTTATTGAGCTGCATGAGCTGCTTATAAATTTTGGAGATTAATGCTTTGTCAGTTGCTTCATTTGCAAATATTTTCTTCTGCTCTGAGCGTTGTCTTTTCTCTTGTTTATGGTTTCCTTTACTGTGCCAAAGCTTTTAAGTTTCATTAGGTCCCATTTGTTTATTTTTGTTTTTATTTCCATTTCTCTTAGAAGTGGGTCAAAAAGGATCATACTGTGATTTATGTCATAGAGTGTTCTGCCTATGTTTTCCTCTAAAAGTTTGATAGTGTCTGGCCTTACATTTAGGTCTTTAATCCATTTGGAGGTTTTTTTTTAATGTATGATGTTAGGGAGGTCCAAATATCATTGTTTTACATATAGGTGTCCAGTTTTCCCACCACCACTTATTGAAGAGGCTGTTTATTCTCTACTGTATATTCCTGCCTCCTTTATCAAAGATAAGGTGACCATAGTGCATGGGTTTATCTCTGGGCTTTCTATCCTGTTCCATTGATCTATATATCTGTTTTTGTGCCAGTACCATACTGTCTTGAGTACTGTAGCTTTGTACTATAGTCTGAAGTCAGGGAAACTGATTCCTCCAGCTCCATTTTTCTTTCTCAAGATTGCTTTGGCTACTCGGGGTGTTTTGTGTTTCCATACAAATTGTGAAATTTTTTGTTCCAGTGAAAAATGCCAGTGGTAGTTTGATAGGGATTGCATTCAATCTGTAGATTGTTTTGGATAGTAGACTCATTTTCACAATGTTGATTCTTCCAATCCAAGAACATGCTATATCTCTCCATCTATTTGTATCATCTTTAATTTCTTTCATCAGTGTCTTATAATTTTCTGCATACAGGTCTTTTGTCTCCCTGGGTAGGTTTATTCCTAGATATTTTATTCTTTTTGTTGCAAAGGTAAATGGGAGTGTTTTCTTCATTTCATTTTCAGATTTTTCATCATTAGTGTATAGAAATGCAAGAGATTTCTATGCATTAATTTTGTGTCCTGCTACTTTACCAAATTCATTGATGAGCTCTAGTAGTTTTCTGGTAGCATCTTTAGGATTCTCTACGTATAGTATCATGTCATCTGCAAACAGTGACAGCTTTACTTCTTCTTTTCCGATTTGGATTCCTTTTATTTCCTTTTCTTCTCTGATTGCTGTGGCTAAAACTTCCCAAACTATGTTGAATAAGAGTGGTGAGAGTGGGCAACCTAGTCTTCTTCCTGATCTTAGTGGAAATGGTATCAGTTTTTCACCATTGAGGATGATGTTGGCTGTGGGTTTGTCATATATGGCCTTTATTTTGTTGAGGAAAGTTCCCTCTATGCCTGCTTTATGCAGGGTTTTTGTCATAAATGGGTGTTGACTTTTGTCGAAAGCTTTCTCTGCATCGATTGATGATCATATGGTTTGTCTCCCTCAATTTGTTAATATGGTGTATCAGGTTGATTGATTTGCATATATTGAAGAATCCTTGGATTCCTGGGATAAACCCCACTCGATCATGGTGTATGATCCTTTTAATGTGCTGTTGGATTCTGTTTGCTAGTATTTTGTTGAGGATTTTTGCATCTATGTTCATCAGTGATATTGGCCTGTAGTTTTCTTTCTTTGTGACATCTTTGTTTGGTTTTGGTATCAGGGTGATGGTGGCCTCGTAGAATGAGTTTGGGAGTGTTCCTCCCTCTGCTATATTTTGGAAGAGTTTGAGAAGGATAGGTGTTAGCTCTTCTCTAAATGTTTGATAGAATTTGCCTGTGAAGCCATCTGGTCCTGGGCTTTTGTTTGTTGGAAGATTTTTAATCACAGATTCAATTTCAGTGCTTGTGATTGGTCTGTTCATATTTTCTATTTCTTCCTGGTTCAGTCTCGGAAGGTTGTGCATTTCAAAGAATTTTCCATTTCTTCCAGGTTGTCCTTTTCATTGGCATAGAGTTGCTTGTAGTAATCTCTCATGATCCTTTGTATTTCTGCAGTGTCAGTTGTTACTTCTCCTTTTTCATTTCTAATTCTATTGATTTGAGTCTTCTCCCTTTTTTTCTTAATGAATCTGGCTAATGGTTTCCCAATTTTGTTTATCTGCTCAAAAAACCTGCTTTTAATTTTATTGATCTTTGCTGTTGTTTCCTTCATTTCTTTTGCATTTATTTCTCATCTGATCTTTATGATTTCTTTCCTTCTGCTAAATTAGGGGGGTTTTTGTTCTTCTTTCTCTAATTGCTTTAGGTGTAAGGATAGGTTGTTTATTTGAGATGTTTCTTGTTTCTTTAGGTAGGATTGTATTGCTATAAACTTCCCTTTAGAACTGCTTTTGCTGCATCCCATAGGTTTTGGGTCATCGTGTTTTCATTGTTTTTTGTTTCTAGGTATTTTTTAATTTCTTCTTTGATTTCTTCAGTGATCTCCTGGTTATTAAGTAGTATATTGTTTAGCCTCCATGTATTTGTATTTTTTACAGATTTTTTTCTTGTAATTGATATCTAGTCTCATAGCTTTGTGGTCAGAAAAGATACTTGATACGATTTCATTGATACGATTTCAGTTTTCTTAAATTTACTAAGGCTTGATTTGTGACCCAAGATATGATCTATGCTGGAGAATGTTACATGAACACTTGAGAAGAAAGTGTATTCTGTTCTTTTTGGATGGAATGTCCTATAAATATCAATTAAATCCATCTTGTTTAATGTATCATTTAAAGCTTGTGTTTCCTTATTTATTTTCATTTTGGATGATCTGTTCAGTGGTGGAAATGGGGTGTTAAAGTCCCCTATATGATTGTGTTACTGTCGATCTCCCTTTTTATGGCTGTTAGTTTTTGCCTTATGTATTGAGGTACTCCTATGTTGGGTGCATAAATATGTACAATTGTTATATCTTCTTGGATTGATCCCTTGATCATTACATAGTGTCCTTCTTTGTCTCTTGTAATAGTCTTTGTTTTAATGTCTATTTTGTCTGATATGAGAATTGCTACTCCAGTTTTCTTTTGATTTGCATTTGTATGGAATATCTTTTTCCATCCCCTCACTTTCAGTCTGTACGTGCCCCTAGGTCTGAAGTGGGTCTCTTGTGGACAGCATCTATACGGGTCTTGTTTTTGTATCCATTCAGCCAGTCTATGTCTTTTGGTTGGAGCATTTAATTCATTTACATTTAAGGTAATTATTGATATGTATGTTCCTATTCCCATTTTCTTAATTGTTTTGGGTTTGTTATTGTAGGTCTTTTCTTTCTCTTGTGTTTCCTGCATATAGAAGTTCCTTTAGCATTTGTTGTAATGCTGGTTTGGTGGTGCTGAATTCTCTTAGCTTTTGCTTGTCTGTAAAGCTTTTAATTTTTCCGTCAAATCTGAATGAGATCCTTGCTGGGTAGAGTAATCTTGGTTGTAGGTTTTTCTCCTTCATCACTTTAAGTATGTCCTGCCACTCCCTTCTGGCTTGCAGAGTTTCTCCTGAAAGATCAGCTGTTAACCTTATGGGGATTCCTTTGTGTGTTATTTGTTCATTTTCCCTTGCTGCTTTTAATATTTTTTCTTTGTATTTAATTTTTGATAGTTTGATTAATATATGTGTTGGTGTGTTTCCCCTTGGATTTTCCCTGTATGGGACTCTCTGTGCTTCCTGGACTTGATTAACTATTTCCTTTCCCATATTAGGGTAGTTTTCAACTATAATGTCTTCAAATATTTTCTCAGCCCCTTTCTTTTTCTCTTCTTCTTCTGGGACCCCTATAATTCGAATGTGGTGTGTTTAATGTTGTCCCAGAGGTCTCTGAGACTGACCTAAGTTCTTTTCATTCTTTTTTCTGTATTCTGCTCTGCAGTAGTTATTTCCACTCTTTTATCTTCCAGGTCACTTATCCGTTCTTCTGCCTCAGTTATTCTGCTATTGATCCCCTCTAGAGTATTTTTAATTTCATTTATTGTGTTGTTCATCATTGCTTGTTTCCTCTTCAGTTCTTCTAGGTCCTTGTTAAATGTTTCTTGTATTTTCTCCATTCTATTTCCAAGATTTTGGATCATCTTTACTATCATTATTCTGAATTCTTTTTCAGATAGACTGCCCATTTCCTCTCCATTTGTTAGATCTGGTGGGTTTTTATCATGCTTCTTCATCTGCTGTGTGTTTCTCTGTCCTCTCATTTTGCTTAACTTACTGTGTTTGGGGTCCCCTCCTCACAGGCTGCAGGTTTGTAGTTCTCATTTTTTTGGTGTCTGTCCTCAGTGGTTAAGGTTGGTTCAGTGTGTTGTGTAGGCTTCCTGGTGGAGGGGCTAGTGCCTGTGTTCTTGTGGATGAAGCTAGATATTGTCTTTCTAATGGGCAGGTCCATGTCTGGTGGTGTGTTTTGGGTTGTCTGTGACCTTATTATGATATTTGGCTGCTTTACTGCTAATGGATGGGGTTGTGTTCCTGTCTTGCTAATTGTTTGGTGTAAGGTGTCCAGCACTGTAGCTTGCTGGTCGTTGAGTGGAGCTGGGTCTTGGCGTTGAGATGGAGATCTCTGGGAGATTTTCACCATTTGATATTACGTGGAGCTGGGAGTTCTCTGGTGGACCAATGTCCTGAACTTGGCTCTCCCACCTCAGAGGCACAGGCCTGATGCCTGGGTGGAGCACCAAGAGCCTTTCATCCACACAGCTCAGAATAAAAGGAAGGGAAAACAGAAAGAAAGAAAGAAAGAAGAAGATATAACAAAATAAAATAAAGTTATTCAAGTTAAAAATCAGTATTAAAAAAAAATTTATAAAGTAATAAATAATAAATTTAAAAAACGAAAGAAAGAAAGAAGAGAGCAACCAAACCAAAAAACAAATCCACCAATGATAACAAGTGCTAAAAACCATACTAAAGAAAAGGAAAAAAAATACGGACAGAAAGAACCCTAGGACAAATGGTAAAAGCAAAGCTATACAGACAAAATCACACACAGAAGCATACTGCTGGCAGAGATTTCCCTTTCTCTTCTTTGTTCGTACAGCTCCTGGGGTTCAGCTTTGGATTTGGACCCGCCTCTGCATGTAGGTTGCCTGAGAGCGTCTGTTCCTCCCTCAGACAGGACGGGCTTAAAGGAGCAGCTGATACGGGGGCTCTGGCTCACTCAGACCGTTGGGAGGGAGGGGCACGGAGTGCGGCGCGAGCCTGCGGCGGCAGAGGCCAAACATGACATTGCACCAGCCTGAGGTTCTGTGTGTTCTCCTGGGGAAGGTGTCCCTAGATCACGGGGCCCTGGCAGTGGCGGGCTGCACAGGCTCCCGGGAGGGGAGGTGTGGACAGTGACCTGTGCTCGCACACAGGCTTCTCGGTGGTGGCAGCCTCTCATGCCCGTCTCTGAGGTCCGTGCTGATAGCCATGGCTTGCGCCCGTCTCTGGAGCTCCTTTAAGTGGCGCTGAATGCCCTCTCCTTGCTCACCAGGAAACAAAGAGGGAAGAAAAAGTCTCTTGTCTCTTCGGCAGCTCCAGACTTTTTCCCGGACTCCGTCCCGGCTAGCTGTGGCGCACTAACCCCTTCAGGCTGTGTTCACGCCGCCAGTCCTATCCCTGGGATCTGACCGAAGCTCGAGCCTCAGTTCCCAGCCCCCGCCTGCCTGGCGGGTGAGCAGACAAGCCTCTCGGGCTGGTGAGTGCCGGTCGGCACCGATCCTCTGTGCGGGAATCTCTCCACTTTGCCCTCTGCACCCCTGTTGCTGCGCTCTCCTCCGTGGCTCCGAAGCTTCCCACCTCCGCCACCCGCAGTCTCTGCCCACGAAGGGGCTTCCTAGTGTGTGGAAACCTTTCCTCCTTAACGGCTCCCTCCCACTGGTGCAGGTCCCGTCCCTATTCTTTTGTCTCTGTTTTTTCTTTTTTCTTTTGCCCTACCCAGGTATGTGGGGAGTTTCTTGCCTTTTGGGAGGTCTGAGGTCTTCTGCCAGCGTTCAGTAGGTGTTCTGTAGTTGTTGCACATGTACATGTATTTCTGATGTATTTGTGGGGAGGAAGCTGATCTCCCATGTCTTACTCTTCTGCCATTTGAAGCTCCTCCTTCACTTTTTAATGCTGATAATTTTACCTTTTTACTCTATATTCAAAGAAGTCGAATCCAAATTTATGTTTAGTCATTGGAACTACATTGTCTCCTGTTTAATATGCTTGTTTTTCTTTTTCGCAAACACACACATGCACATACAAAGTAAATAATATATATGTGTGGAAAAGAGTTTGATTCATTTATGTCTAATTTATATTTCTATATACCTGTAGTTGCTAGTAATAATAGAAACTCACAAATAACCCCTGTAGTCTCATAAGATATATACATATCAAGAAATATGGCCTACATACCAAGTAACTTTTGATTACTATACTGAACAATTAAAAATTGTATTAGTTTAATTTTCCATAATTGAATTTGCATAGTACTAATTTGTGTTTAGTCTTTTCTTTATATAGGTATGAGATACCTAAATAAATTTTTCCTCCAACAAGTGTAAAAAGCAAAAAGTAACATTCATAGGAGTCTTTGTTTTACATGATCGGAGCATCACATGTATTTCCATTGTTCATTCAACCATACATGGTAAATGTGACTGAAATGACTAAGTTTATTTTTTTTTAACTTTTAAGAACAAAAAACCCAGAAGATTTTCTTTCCACTCATTAACTAGTCTTAATGAAGCCCTAGGAAACAGTGCTTCTAATATCCAGGATCAGTGTTATATATATTTTTTAAATGTCACTTAGGTTTATCTAAAGAACACACAGTTATCCGTTTATTATGAAAATGAAACATCTGTAAGTAACGTCTATAACAGCATAACAGTAATGTGGTAATAGAGTTTATCTTTTTTTTCTTTGCTTTTTTCCACTAGAGTAGTGATTATTTTCCAATTCTTTCTGTAGCCTATGTTAGTGTCAACAAATATATCTTACATATATGTTTAATCGTCTGTCAGTTCAGTTGGTTGGAATTCCATGCCAGTAATGTCAAGATCATTGCTTAAGTCCTGATTTGCAAGAGTTTACTTAAAGCTTCTTTGTGACCACAGACCACTCCTTTAACCTCACATAGATGTGGGCTATTAGTCACCATGAAATTGGGAAAGAGAGCATGAATAAATCCGCCCATGTTTATCACCCAAAGAAAAAAACATATATCTTTAAGAGTACCCTTCTCTGTGAGTTTGTTAGGCGCCTTCTTGTCCATAAGAAACACTATAGTAAATGATAGACTTTAAAATTCATTCTCTATAGGCTCAGAGTACTGTGAAGATAATCCATTCATGTCATGAATAATACATATGTTTATTTTCTTACAAATGGTTGCATATTTTGCTAGAGAGAGAGAGGGAGAAAAAAAAAACGTGTGTGTGTGTATTTAACTGCCTTGTAGCTGATAGTTGAAGAGAGAAGATCTATAGCAGAAAGAGCAATGTTGCCAGGTAACTCAGATTTTCAAAAGTGAGGTTGTCCTATCAAATGTATTTCAAGCCTTCCTTAAACAGCTCACTGCTTTTATTCTCACATGGTTACAGTAAGAACTACAACGAAACAACTCTTAGCCCCTTAAACCTTCATAGTCCTATTCTAGAAAATTGACAAATGACTTTTCTTGGGAGCCAGATGGAGCTAATATATCTTTTATGTCTTTTATTTACTTAGACCAGCAGGGTAAGCAAATAAGTTGCCATGTTCAAACTTAGTGTTTTACATTAATAATTGAAAAGACTGCCTATAATATTCCAGGGACTGTACTTATTTCTGGGGATACAGTAGTTAAAAAAAAAAAAAATTCCCTACCTTCTTGTGGAGAAAACTGACAGGAAACTATTAAAGGTATAATAAAATGTGAAGTAATGATCAATGTCATGAAGAAAAATGAAGCTGTGTAAGAGCTAGAGAGTAAGGGAACCAATATAAAAATAGGGTAGTCAGGTAAGGACTCTAAGGAGGTCGCATTTGAGCTGAGGCCTGCCTTGAAGTGAGGAGTTTACTTCGAGACTAGCTGGGGTAAAAGTGTTTCACACATGGTGAATAGCAAGTGCAAAGGCTTTGAGGCAGAAAGATGCTTGGTGTAATTAAAACTGTGTGGCACTGTTATGGATATAGACACACAGACCAATGGAATAGGATAGAATACAGAAAGAGACACAAGGTTTCCTGTAATTTACAAATTTGTAAAAATGAAGTTACAAATTAGATAAGTTACTGTAGCGCATCAGGGTTTTTAATCTGGGTTCCATGGAAGGGGGCCCTAGACAGTCTGTGAATTTACTGAAATTATGCAAAATTTGTGTATATGTGCAGATTTTTTTTGCAGAGATACTCTATAGCTTTTATTAGATTCTCAAAAGTATTTTACTAATTAACCGAGAAAAGATTAAAAATACAGTCATCCCTTGGTATCTGTGGAGGACTGCTGCCAGGGCCCACCGTTAATACCAAAATATACCAAATCTCAAGTCCTAAAATCGGCCCTCCATACTGCAGTTCTGCATCTGTGGATTCAGCCAGCCATGACTCATGTAGTACTGTATGTGTTTATTGGAAAAAATGAAATACACGTTTAACTGGACCCATGCAGTTCAAGCTTGGGTTAATCAGGAGACAACTGTAATTGCAACTGGCTGCCCATTTCCTCCTGGACTTTGTATACTAAAATGAATTATAGATAGATTAAATATTTAAATCTAGAAGTTTAATATATTAAAAAGAAACTGGGAGGCCTTCCCTGGTGGCGCAGTGGTTGAGAGTCCGCCTGCCGATGCAGGGGACATGGGTTCGTGCCCCGGTCCGGGAAGATCCCACATGCCGCAGAGCAGCTCGGCCCGTGAGCCATGGCTGCTGAGCCTGTGCGTCCGGAGCCTGTGCTCCGCAATGGAAGAGGCCACAACAGTGAGAGGCCCGCATACCGGAAAAAAAAAAAAAAAAGAAACTGGGAAAATATTGATACGCTTTGAAAGGGAGAGTTGAAGCAGGACTTCTGGAATGGCAAGACTAAGGACCTCTGCAAATTAGCCTCTTCAGAAGGGCAATGAGAATGCTAGCAAAAATCGTCAAAATCAATTTTCTCAGATCTCTGGGTGTTAACCAAAGGTCAACAACCCAAGGAGTATT